GGTGATGGGGAGGAAGGCAGCAAATCACACTGCCATGTGTGTTCCTATGCAACAATCTTGCATGTTCTTCACATGTACCCCAAAACCTAAAATGCAATAAAATAAATAAATGGGAAAAAAAAAAGAAGTTTTAAAAAGTATTCAGTACTCCGATGTGTAAATTTTATTTATAATCATATATAATTTTTATTATTACAAAAATGATCCTGTAGTCCATAATAATTTAATTGTACATCTCAAAATAACTAAAACTGTAGAATTGGTTTGTAATACAAAAAATAAATTCCAGAGGTGATGATACCTCATTTAACCTAATTTGATTACTGTACATTGTACATCTCTGTCAGAATATATAGCATATATACATATATACAACATAAACATTATGTGCCAACAAAAAATTACAACAGTAAATTTAAATGTTAAAAAAAAATAAAAATATTACCAAAAGGAACAATATTTCTTAACTTATTTGCAGTTTTAAGTCACTGGCAAAAAAGATTACAAGAGATGTTAATCCATTATTTAACCAAATAGTGTATTGTTACCATCCTTTAGCTACACTCTTAATAAGGGGGACTAGGCTAAAGTAAGAGGAATAATAAGACTTAACTGAAATTAAGAAATTAAGTTCACAGGCAATCTAAGGTTTTTAAATGTACCACATTTTGTTTCATAAAAGTACAATTAGTAAAATAATATACTACTAATTTATTTTCTTTTAATTGAGATGGAGTCTGGCTTTGTTGCCCGGGCTGGAGTACAGTGGCACAATCTTGGCTCATTGCAACCTCGGCTTCCTAGATTCATGCAATTCTTCTGTGTCAGCCTCCCAAGTAGCTGAGCCTACAGGTGTGCACCACCAGGCCTGGCTAATTTTTGTATTTTTAATAAAGATGGGGTTTCACCATATTGGCCAGGCTGGTCTTGAACTCCTGATCTTGGGATCCACCTGCCTCAGCCTCGCAAAGTACTGGGATTACATGTGGGAGTCATTGCGCCCAGCCAATTTAATTTTAACTAAAACTAAAAATATTTGTCTCTCAATATAATGCAGAAGAATGTTACTCTGAACACCTACCTCATGCATCACTCAATTTTGAAAGTTAACTACAAAGAAACTTTTTACTCTGACTTTTATCATGCATCTTACATGTTAATGTCTTTACTGTTTCATAAATGAGGTCATAAATGCTCACATAATAAAAAAATAATCTCTCATATCTTTGATGCAGCAACAATTGGTCACATGCTTTCATGTCTAAATACAATAGGAATAAGAAAACAGGATGGACCAGGCACAGTGGCTAATAGCAGTAATCCCGGCGCTTTAAGAGGCCAAGATGAGTGGATCACCTGAGGTCACGAGTTTGAGACCAGCCTGGCCAACATGGCAAACCCCATCGCTACTAAAAATACAAAACGTAGTAGGGTATGGTGGTATGCACCTGTCATCTCAGCTTTTTGGGAGGCTGAGGCAGGAGAATCATTTGAATCCAAGAAGTGGAGGTTGCAATAAGACGAGATCATGCCACTGCACTCCAGCTTGGAGACAGAGCAAGTCTCCATCTGCCCTCTGCCAAAAAAAAAAAGAAAAGAAAAAAAGCAACTAATTTCTTTAGCATGAAGTAATTTAAGAATTACAACATTATTTCTGTGAAGTAACTTGACAGTTAATTATAACACTATATACTTTTCAAAAAATCCGTAATCTTTCCCAAAAAAACGTATACTTGTAATGTAATTGTAACTCTCCAAAAATTGTCTATGCTTTTAGTGTTATATACAAATAATTGTTGTACCAACTTTTGTATTGGATTCAGAACTCATTTGATATAATGTCTGAAGGGTCAGACTTTTTTTTTTTTTTTTTGACAGATGTCTAGGTATTTATTTATTTTTTAAAATTTTTTATTGTACTTTCTAATGTAAATTTTTTACATAGGCAATTTTGGATTAAATATTTTTTTCCTATTTATTGTATCTGTAGAAATATATTTTACCATAAAATCTCTGGAGTTTTCTAAGCTATAGTTTTTGAATAAATGGTATTTTCTCAAATTTATTACATTTACAGGGGTTTTCTTCAATATAAATTCTCTGAGGTTGAAAAAGTTTCAGCAATTGCTTCAGGTTTGCCTCTAAAACAAAATGAGTACCCCAACATCTGTGCTACAAATTACTACAACTCTCTTTATATTTATGATCCTCTTCAGCACTTTAAAGGCTTGTATTTTCTGAAGAATCTATTGAAAGAATTGCACTTTTAATGCTTTTATTAAGTATAAACTCTCTGATGTTGAATAAGATTCTGAGCAGATATTAATCACTTTTTTACTTCCTTTATATTTGCACATTTGTTCTCAAGTATAAATGCTTTCCTGTGCAATAAGGTGTGAACACTTTAAAAGTTTTGCCACATTTTTCATACTTGTAGAAGTTTTCTCCAGCATGAATTACCTTTCCTACAATTAACTGTGACAACCATGTAAAGGCTTTGTCACATTATTCATATTTCTATGATTTCTCACCAGCACAATTCCTTTTATGTTTGGAAATGTTTGAGATGTTGTCACAAGCATTGTCACAACTTTCAGGTTTGCAGAGTTTCTCTCTAGTATGAATCACTTTACATCTGTTAAGAATTGAGAACTAGTTAAAGGCGTTGCCACATTCTTCACACTTACAGGGTTTCTTACCAGTTTGAATTATCTTATGTGTAGTAAGGGCTGAGGACTGGTTAAAGGCTATGCCACATTCTTCACATTTGTAGGTTTTCTCTCCAGTATGAATTATCTTACGTGTTGTAAGGGGTGAGAACCAATTAAAGGCTTTTCCATTCTCCAAATTTGTAGGGTTTTCATTCAAAATGAATGATCTTGTCGTAAGGTGTGAGGAATGGCTAAAAGCTGTGTCACTGTCTTCACATTTGTAGGGTTTCTCTCCGGTACAAGTTATCTTACATGTAGTAAGGGTTGAGGAATGGCTAAAAGCTTTGCAACAGTCTTCACAATTGTACAATTGCTCTCTAGCATGAATTCTCTCTTGTGTAGTAAGGTATGAGGACCGGCTAACAGCTTTGCCACAGTCTTCATATTTCTAGGGTTTCACTCCAGTATGAATTTTTTTATGTGTAGCCAGGTGTGAAGCCCAGTTAAAGGTTTTGCCACATTCTTCACACTGGTATGGTTTCTTTCCATTATGAATTACCTTATGCCTATTAAGAGTTGAGGAATGGTTAGCTGGGCATGGTGGCACGTGCCTGTAATCCCATCTACTCAGGAGGCTGAGGCAGGAGAATTGCCTGAACCCAGGAGGTAGAGGTTGCAGTCAGCCGAGATCGCGCCATTGCACTCCAGCCTGGGTAACAAGAGCGAAACTCCGTCTCAAAAAAAGAGTTGAGGAATGGCTAAAAGCTTTGCTACAGTCTTCACCTTTGTAGGGTTTCTCTCCAGTATGAATTCTCCTGTGTGTAGTAAGGTTTGAGGACTGGCTAAAACCTTTGCCACATCCTTCACGTTTGCAGAATTTCTCTCCCATATAAATTCTCTTATGTGTAGTAAGGTGTGAAAACAGGCTAAAGCTTTGCCAGAGTCTTCACATTTGTAGAGTTTCTCTCCAATATAAATTATCCTGTGTCTAGTAAGGTTTGAGGACCAGCTAAAAGCTTTGCCACATTCTTCACATTTGTAGGGTTTCACTCCAGTATGAATTATTTTATGTGTAGTTAGGGTTGAAGACGGGTCAAAGTCTTTGCCACATTCTTCACACTGGTAGGGTTTCTCTCAATTTTTTTTTTTAAAGACGGGGTTTCACCATGTTGGTCAGGCTGGTCTTGAACTCCCGACCTCAGGTGATCTGCCCGCCTTGGCCTCCAAAGTGCGTGGATTACGGGCATGAGCCACCATGCCCGGCTTTTTATTTTTTTTATTTTTTATTTTTTTGGGTTTCTCTCGATTATGAATTATGCATAGTAAGAGTTGAGGAATCACTAAAAGCTTTGATACAGTCTTCACATTTTTGGGAATTCTCTCCAGTATGAATTCTCCTGTGTGAAATAAGGGGTCCGGATTGGTAAAAAGTTTTGCCACATTCTTCACATTTGTGGGGTTTCACTCCCGTATGAATTCTTTTATGTGTAGCTAGGTTTGAAGACCGGTTAAAGGCTTTGCCACATGCTTCACACTGGTAGGGTTTCTCTCCAGTATGAATTATCCTGTGTGTAGTAAGTGTTAAGCGATGGCTAAAAGCTTTGCCACAGTCTTCACATTTGTAGGGCTTCTCTCCAGTATGAATTATCCTATGTCTGGTAAGGTGTGAGGACCGGCTAAAACCTTTGCCACATTCTTCACACTGGTAGGGCTTCTCTCCATTATGAATTATCTTATGCTTAGTAAGAGTTGAGGAATTGCTAAAAGCTTTGCCACAGTCTTCACATTTGTAGGGTTTCTCTCCAATATGAATTCTCCTGTGTGAAATGAGGTGTCCGGATTGGTTAAAAAATTTGCCACATTCTTCACATTTGTAGGGCTTCACTCCAGTATGAATTCTTTTATGTGTAATTAGGTTTGAAGACCGGTTAAATGCTTTGCCACATTCTTCACATTTGTATGGTTTCTCTCCAGTATGAATTATCCTGTGTGTAGTAAGGTTTGAGGGATTGCTAAAAGCTTTGCCACAGTCTTCACATTTGTAGGGTTTCTCTCCAGTATGAATTACTCTATGTCTAGTAAGGTGTGAGGACCAGATAAAAGCTTTGCCACATTCTTCACATTTGAAGGGTTTCACTCCAGTATGAATTATTCTATGTGTAGTTAGGTGTGAAGACCAGTTAAAGGCTTTGCCACATTCTTCACACTTGTAGGGTCTCTCTCCGTTATGAATCATCTTCTGTCTAGTAAGGTGTGAGGACTGGTTAAGGGCTAAGACACGTTCTTCACATATGTAGGGTTTCTCTCCACAATGAATTATCTTACGTGTAGTAAGGGTTGAGGAATGGCTAAAAGCTTTGCCACAATTATTTTCACATTTGTAGGGTTTCACTCCAGTACAAATTATCCTGTGTGTAGTAAGATGTGCAGATTGGTTAAAAGCTTTCCCACAGTCTTCACAATTGTAGAGTTTCTCTCCAGTATGAATTCTCTTATGTGCATTAAGGCTTGCAGATTGGTTAAAAGCTTTTCCACATTCCACACATCTGTAGGGTTTCTCTCCAGTATGAATTATCTTATGTGTAGTAAGGTATAAGAGCAGGTTAAAGGTTTTTCCACATTCTTCACATTTGTAGGGTTTCTTTTCACTATGAATTCTTTTACATGTAGAAAGGTTTGAGACCTCATTATATGCTTTGCCACATTCTTTACATCTGTAATGTCTTTTTCCAGTATGAATTCTTTTATGTTGAGCTAAGTGTGAAACCGTGCAAAATGACTTTTCACATTCTTTACATTTGAAAGGCTTTTTTCCAGTTTGTCTTATCTTATGTCTGTTTGAATTTGAAAATTTATAAAAGACTACAAATTTGTTGCATTGAAATGTTTTTCTCTGGGTAGTTGTCAAACACTGGAGTCCACTGTAACATTCTTTGTGCACCTTACACTCATCCACACTTTCACCACATTTTCCTAACTGTAAATTTTTATGTCTGCATTTTTTATATCTTCTCAGTATCACTTTTTGGAAATAATTTTTTATGCCCTGCTTTGGCCAAAGATCTTGGGCAAACAAAGAACCTACAACTGAAGGAAATAAAAATAACAAATTACTCCACTTACTTGACTCAGATGAATATACTTTAGAAATCTTACCTATAAAATTATACAAACTACATCACAAGATGGCATAGGAAAGTTTTACAGGCTTTATTTTTTTCACAGGTATATAGCTGTAACAAAATCATATAGACCAAATTACATTCGTAAAAAATTAAGTGTATGCAATGTCCCAGGTGAGCCCAATGCAAAGAGACACAGAACAAAGAAAAAATCTGTTACATTTACCCAACATGGATTTTCCTGTTTCCCAAAATAACACAGTGACTTTAGAAATAAATTGCCAACTCCTGGTTTCTTTTTTAAAAGACAAGTAAAATACTGCCTTATACATGTTTATTTCTGGGTGGTAGGGTCTATTAAAGACACTGGTTTCTGTCTCTCATTACATAAAGCTCTGATAGAAATAGTGGTATTCTTTCAAATGACAGTTGGAGTCTGCTGACACAAAAGGTAAGTTTTACAGCAGCAGAAAGACTGTGGTATCACAGGCAGGAAGCAATTGTAGCAAGTGATTATTGGTTATTTAGAAACATAAATAGGCTTAGTGTGGTGGTTCATATCAGTAATCCTAGAACTTTGGGAGGCCGAGGTGGGTGGATCACCTTAAGTTAGGAATTTAAGACCAGCCTGGGCAACAAGGTAAAACCCAGTCTCTACTAAAAATACAAAATCAGCTGAGCATGGAGATACAGGCCTGTAATCCCAGCTATGTGGGAGGCTGAGACAGGATAATCACTTGAACCTGGAAGGCGGAGGCTGCAGTGAGCTAAGACCATGCCATTGCACTCCAGCCTGGGTGACAGAAGCAAAATTCNAAAAAAAAAAAAAAAAGAAGAAGAAGAGGAAGAGGAGGAAGAAGAGGTGGAGGAGACAACACAAACTTCTTTAAAAACTAAACAAAAAATTTTTGACAAGGCATATCCTAGAAACATGTTTGAGAGACTCCCAGAATCTCTAGTCAAGATAAGTGTTTTCAGACAATGTCAGAAAAAACTACCTTTTAAAGATTATGACAGTTTTTTTAATGTCCAAATGTCAATCAAAGACTACAATGTATACATAACAGTGCAATATAGTTTCATCAAGAATATTACATAATTTTAAAAAAGAACCATAAAAATGTACACATTAATTTTAAACACTGATAATAAATTGAATAATATTTAATGAGTGAAACAGGAAGACAGACCACTATAGAAAATCAAAAAATAATAATTAAAAAAAAATCTGAAACATATTTTTAAATTGTGGAGGTAAAAAATAAAATAAACAGCCGGGCGCGGTGGCTCACGCCTGTAATACCATCACTTTGGGAGGCCGAGGCGGGTGGATCACAAGGTCAAGAGATCGAGACCATCCTGGTCAACATGGTGAAACCCCGTCTCTACTAAAAAATACAAAAAGTCAGCTGGGCATGGTGGCATGTGCCTGCAATCCCAGCTACTCAGGAGGCTGAGGCAGGAGAATTGCCTGAACCCAGGAGGCAGAGGTTGCGGTGAGCCGAGATCGCGCTATTGCACTCCAGCCTGGGTAACAAGACCGAAACTCCGTCTCAAAAAATAAATAAATAAATAAATAAATAAAATAAAATAAACAACTGGAAAATCATAAAAGTAAGGAAAATGATGTGAAAATGAAGAAGTTCAACAAACAAATTAGAATACATGCAGATTATAACTATATATATACATAAGCACATTTTCAAAATTCACAGACAAGAAAAAAATCTTGCAAGCTGCAAGATAAATGTAATGCGTCATTTACAAACACAGTCTTACGATGTAACCAATGAATTATCAATATAAATTTTGCAGGCCAGAAAGAAACCATGTGACTTTAAATGACTTAAAGTCATTTAAAAAAAAAAAAAAAGCTATCAAATCAGAATAATAACCATCAACAAATCTGTCCTGCCAAGTAAAAAGAAAATAAACCTTCCAGGCCTGGCATGGTGGCTCACGCCTGTAATCACAGCACTTCAGGAGGCCAAGGCAGGCAAATCATGTCAGAAGATTGAGACAAGCCAGGACAACATGGTGAAACTCTGTCTCTATTAAAAATTAGCCAAGTGTAGTAACCTGTGCCTGTTGTTCCAGCCACTCAGGAGGCTGAGGCAGAAGAATTACTTAAATCCAAGCAGGTGGAGGTTGCAGTGAGCTGAGATTGTACCACTGCACTCCAGTCTGGTGACAGAGTGAGTCTCTGACACACACACAAAAAAAAAAAACCCTTGTGAAACAACCAAATCCTGAAAAAGTATACTGGCACTGCATATGCCCTATATATAAAAGATGCTGAAAGCAGTTTCTTAAACTGAAAATAAAAGGATTCAAAAAAACAACACATACTCAAATAAAAAAACAGTATGTTCTGGGAAAGATAGGTGTATACACAAAAATAGAATCTTGTGGCATTATCATGATAGTGCAAAAAACATTCTCAATTATTCTCTAAAATTTGAAAAATAAAAGCACAGAAATTATGAACATCCGTTAATAAATATACAATGTAAAATCATCATTAGCAACACCAATGACAAATTTCCAGGCAGATGTAATGAGGAAAAATTTTTTATTCAACTGAAGTTTATTTTGTACCAAATTAAAATACACTGTTATTTCTTATAGAGGTTTTAGGTAGCCCCAAGATATCACAGACACAAACACAAATCTATATGGATACTTGAAAGTGCATTAGAAATAAGTAAAAGCATATCAATACAAAAATCTAAAGACACAAAGAAAGATGGAGAGAAAATAAGAAAGTTGTAAAAATCAAATAAAATAATTAAAAACATAACAGTGAGTCTCTTTCAGAAAATTATTAAAATATATATATAATTCACTTTCAAATCAAGAGACATACTTTCAATAAATAAATTTACTAAAAACTTAAAAACCAACATCCAGCTTTTTTTTTTTCTACAAAAGTCAGTTAAGATCTAGTGATAAAAAAGCACTGAAAGGGGCAAGACGGAAGTAGACATTTTATGCAAATGTTAATCAAATGAGAGCAGAATAAATCAAAATAATATTATGCAAGTTACACCTTAAGTCAAAAACTGTCATATTTTATAAAATGTACTTGAAGTAAAAACTCCAAGGAGACAAAAAAGGACATTAAAACTTACATATTTAGGCCAGGGGCACTGGCTCATGCCGGTAAGCCCAGAATTTTGAGAGGCTGAGGCAGAGAGATCACTTGAGGTCAGGAGATCGAGACCAGCCTGGCCAACATGATGAAACCCCGTCTCTACTAAAAACACAAACCTTAGCCAGGCATGGTGGTATGTACCTGTAATCCTAGCTATCTTTGTGGCTGAGGCAGAATAATTGCTTGAATCTGAGCGGCAGAGGTTGCAGTGAGCTGAGATCACACCACTGCCCTCCAGCCTGGGCAACAGAGTGAGACTGTCTAAAAAAAAAAATTATAGATTTATTCACTGGAAACCTATGACAAATTGGTATATACGTGTGTGTGTGTTTGTGTGTGTGTATCTCACATTAGGGCTTCAAACATATAAAGCAAATATCGACAGAATAACAGAGACAAACAGAGAACAAGCTAATTACAGTATAATATTTCAATACTGCACTTTTTGTAATAAACATAAAACAAGAATATTACTAAGCAAATAGAGGACTTTCAGGCAGTATCAAGCAATTATTTGTAACAGGGGTATAGAAAACACTCCTCAACATCAGGATGCACATGGTTCTCAATAGCTAATAGAACATATTTCTTGATAGAACACCTCTTAGGCCAAAAAAAAAGTCTTAGCTCATTTTTAAAAACTGAAATTTTATAAATTACTTTGTATTACCAAAATGAAATGAGCATCCAATAAAAGAAAAACACTAAAAATTTTACAAACACAACATACTCTTCAGCATGCCCTTCTGAAACGTTGAAAAGGTAATATTATAATGATGTGCATTATTCTCAATACAATCTACAGATTTAATGGAAAGTTTTCCAATTTCTCACTACATTTTTTAAGAAAAAGAAACAGCAAACCCACCTATATAGACTCTCTACAGACAATAAAGTATCCAAAAATATTGAAAACACAACAAAACAATGTTGGGGTCATTATAGTTCCTGATTTTAAAACACATTACAAAGCTACAGAATTAGGACAATTTGGTATGAGTATAAAGGTGAAAAAGTAGACTCATAAAGTAGAATGGGCCAGACACAGTGGCTCACACTTGTAATCCCAGCACTTTGAGAGGCTGAGGTGGGCGAATCATGATGTCAGGAGTTCAAGACCAGCCTGATCAACATAGTGAAACCCCATCTCTACTAAAAATAAAAAAAAAATAGCCAGGCGTGGTGACAGGCACTTGTAATCCCAGCTACTCAGGAGGCTAAGGAAGGAGAATTGCCTGAACCTAGGATACTGAGGTTGCAGTTACCCAAGACTGTGCCATTGCACTCCAGCCTGGGTGATAGAGTGAGACTCTATCTCAAAAAAAAAAAAAAACTGAATTCAGTAGGATGCAACACATATATAACCTCTCACATATATGGTCATTTGCATACCCATAATTATTTTAGCTTTGTTACTGAAACCAAATAAGTAAAAGCAATGTAAATTTCTGTTAATCGCTCAGCAGACATAATTTGAAATATAAAAATAGCAACATATTTACTCAATTTGCAAAAAAGCAGAAAATATTATAAATATAAAGGTAAATCTTGATTGCATTATGCAAAATAAAATGAGCCAGCCACAGAAAGAGATGTTATCAGATATATAAACCACTTACTCTTGAAACAGAAAACAGAATTGTTTTTGAAAAGTGCCAGAAAAGGGAAAAACTGGTAGTTATTTAATGTGTATTGTAAAATTTCCAGAAATCTTTTACAAAACAATGTAACTGGCTAGGTGTGGTGGCTCATGCCTGTAATCTCAGCACTTTGGGAGGCTGAGGTGGGTGGATCACCTGAGGTCCAGAGTTTGAGACCGGCCTGGCCAGCATGGTAAAACTCCATCTCTATTGAAAAAAAATGTTACTATACTTAACATGCCTGAAATGTAGTGTTTTTGAATCAGGGTCTTCCTTTGTCACCAAAGCTAAAGTGCATGGCACAATTATGGCTCACTGCAGCTTCAAACTTCAAGGTTCAAGTAATCCTCCCTTCTGACTCTCCCAAGTAGATAGAACCACACTACTATGTCTGGCTATAAAATCTGATATGCAACATTGATGAAGCATTGAAAAGAATTTATGTAGATAATTGCAATATTTTACTGTAACTGTGTACTCATTGAAGGTGGTTATTTTGAATCACTGCCATGCACTGTCATGCAGTAAACCTCAGAAAAAAATGCAGTATAATCATAAAATAAAGATTCTAATGACAAACTTTTCACAAATAAGCATTTTAATAAATGAGATAATTATTAAGTTTTAAATATATACTATTATTACACAAAATAAAACTGCTGTAATCCAACTTTAGAAGCAAAGAATAGCCTTACATAGCTATATAAAGAAAAAATATATTTTGCAGAACATAGTTTGAGCCTCTGATACATAAAACAAATATTTGGGAATAAATTATGTTATATTTTAGATATAGGCTGACAAAAGTGAGTGAAAATCCAATAATCTTTTTTCACCTGGCTATATATTTTTTTGCCTGCCTACTAATTATCTAATTCATTTAAGGCATAACATGTAAATTCTAGTATATTGTCCTAAATGCCTAAATCTAATATTACAGACAAAATCAAAATAGAAAATACAAAGTAAAAATGTACAGTGGGAGTGACATCACTGAGATGGAAAAATAAAAGGTGCTCGGTTTGCTTATTTTCTGTCAATGAGAAAATTTGTCAGCCATCCCTGACAAAAATGCCTTTGTGAGAGAAACAGGAATCATGGCTCAAACCTGTAATGACAGCTACATGGTACATTAAGTCAGAGAATTGCTTTAGGCCAGAATTTTAAGACCAGCCTCAGTTATATAGCAAGACACCATCTCCAAAATAAATGCCCTTACAAGAGCTTTGAGAACCAGGGAGGGAGTTGTGAAACTCCGCTAATGCCCAAGACTGAGGAACATTCTTTTCAGAAGACAGGCTTCCATTCAGGTGGCAAACTACAGGACCTTTGTTCTTTGGTACAGACCAGAACATGGCCCACTGAACTTGGTCCCACTCAGAATTCTGTAATCATCCCAAAGTCCTCCCAGCCACAGTCTGAGAGAAATCCTACCCTTCCAGAGGCCTGAAGGAAGACACCCGTTTATAGCCATGCTGGCAGGCCTGCAGACACTGGCCCTTACTGTGGTTCCTGAAGCAGTTCCATGACTCAGTTTTAGCTCCCTGAGCCACAGTTCATGGCACATTCTGCCTACATAGAAACCCACACAGTGACTTTGGAAAATCCTCTCTGGTAGTCAGTGAAAGCCAAACTCATCTACATCCTAATATAAAGCCTAACGTACGCAGACCCATGTGCAGAAACCTGCCTTAGAGTCTTCCTCACAGAGCCAAGTCCTGAAGAATATTCACTCTGTTCAAAAATATAATGGGAATTATAACTACCCAATTCCCTTGTAACAAGCCAGCTAAAGGTGGACCCTAATGCAGACCCAGCAGCTTCTGTGACCAAGCTACAACCTCTCTACTACAAACACATAAAGCATCCCACTATCCTGGGAGCTCAACAAAAGATCTTTACTTTCTGAAACTAGTTTATAAAAACTTGAACAGGTGTTTGCTCCTTTGAATTCACAGACAGCAATGCAAAAGTATATTGTGCCCATTCTCAGTGCTTCTATTTTAACATAGCATTGGAATTATGTAGAATAAAAATTAGTCAAAAAAATTTTAAGTCATTGAAATTAAAGACAAATAAGTAAAAAGTTGCATTTTGTAGATCATTTGATCTTATATAAAAAACATAACCAGTACATTAAAATCTAATTAAAGTAATAATTACACTCAATAAATTAGGAAAATAGAAAATTAACATACAGGTATGAGTTATGGTTCCATACGCTTTAAAGAAACTATCTAAGAGGATAAAAAAAAGGAATCTTATTTAAAATAGTACTAAAACAATAAATTTCTAAGAACAAATTTAACCAAGAAGTTTAAATATCTTTCGAATAAAAGATACATCAACAAAAAAATTGACATGACAAATAAAGTTAAAAACATTTCATGTCTATTGATTGAAAGAATATTGTTAAAGTGCCATATTATCTATAGTGATCTTTAGATTCACTAAATTCCCTATCAAAATTTCAGTATTTTTTACAGTAATAAAAAATACAATTCTAAAATTCACATAGAACTACAATGAACTTTGAATAGCCAAAGCAATCTTGACATAAAAAAAGAACAAAGCAGAAGAACACCATATTTCATAAATTATATTTTATAATTTCAAACTATACTTCTAGACTATAAGGACAAAATGTAACATGCAGAAAAATTGGCAATAAAGAAACCAATGGAACAGAAACCACTACTCTCACACATTTTAGACATGATGTAAAGAGCAAACTTAAAAAAAAAAACAGCTTAACATAAAGTTCCTCAAAATTATGCAGATATCTGTGCGTTTTCAAAAACAATGTAAAAGAGGTCAGATTTTACAGTCTTATGTGCCACCAAGAGGACTTTGGCTGTCACTGTAAACTTGAAGGAGGATCACTGAAGGGAAAGTAAAATCTGTAGTGATTTTAAAAAGGTAAGACAGA